TCAACCTTGAGCTGGTGAGATTTGAACCGCCGAACTGCAGATAGCAGTCAGCTGAAGTGGCCTGCAGTACTGCACTCTAACCACTGTGCCACCTCAAAGCTTGTTCTTTGATAGCCAGTGTCAATCTCTTCATTCAACTAATATTTTCATAATCACATTCTCCTCTGTAGGGATCTCTTCACTTTTCCAATTTTGTGCAAATACAACCCTAGCTGCTGCTATAACATGAAAACCATAATTAAAACCCAGCCCAGCTTGGTGCAATGGGTAAACGCAGCTGGGCTTCATCCAATTTTTGTTTTAAGTGTATATCCCACTAAAGCAGTGTTTCTCAACCTTGGTCACCTGGAGATGCATGGACTTCAACTCCCAGAATTCCCCAGCCAGCAGAGGTTGGGCCAAGGTTGAGAAGCACTGCACTAAAGGCTCACAGTGGCTTATAAGGGGAGCTCGCTGCATCCTACCTCTGCAACAACAACCCTGTGAGGTGGGTTGCCTGAAAGTGACTGACTTCACGTCTGAGGGGGGATTTGAGCCTGGATGTTTGTGCAGGTGGTCCTAAACTTACAACTGTGATGGAGCCTGGCCATTATGGACATACTGTAAGTCGTGATGGTCATTAAGCAGATAGCTCATATGACTGTCCTGATTTTATTACCTTATTTGCGGGGGTCTTTAAGGAAATTCATTGTTTACTATGGAGGTAAATGCCGGTTATTGGCAAAAATGTAAATCTCATTCATGTGACTGGGATGCCATAAACCAGGGGTGTCAAACTCAATCCCGTTGCGGGCCGTGTCAGAATTTTGTTTGCCCTTGTGGGGGGGGGGGATCAGGGTGGGTGTGGCCTGATCATCACTGCTGAATGGGTGGGCGTGGGTGGGCCCAAAGCGGCAGGAGTCTCTGGGATGGCCCGTAGGCCAACTCCCGAGCCTAGCGTGGGATCACTCCAGCCCATGGGCCACATGTTCGACACCCCTGCCATAAACAGTTATAAATGTGGGCCAGTTTGCCAAGTGTTCAAAATGAGCGGCCATCAGAACTTTGGAACCAGGTCATAAGTATCTTTTGAGGGGTCTATTATAACCTTGGGAAATCCCTAAGCAACTGGTCGTAAGTTGAAAACGTACAGTGCCCAAATCGCAATCACATGAGCATAGGATGATCAGAACTTTGAGGATCAGTCATAGCCACAACCACCACGGCTGCTGAACAGATGGTCGTTAATCAAGGACTTCCTGTATACCAGATCATGAAGCAGCCTTTCAATCAGAGCTGAAGAAGCTTCTTGGATGAGAAGTGAAACATCTTCAAAGAAAAACGAGACAGTCCAGTTGCCTCTTGAAAAAAAGCACCTTTGGGACGGCATTTGGCTTGAAATAACCCACGCAAAAACGTTTGCGTTGTAAAAATTGGGGGAGAGCATCAGGGTTGTAAATGAAAATCTTTTTGGACAGCAAAGGTGACTAGCAGGCAGCTACTGGAACATGTAACGCCAAACTTATCACTGGAAGGCGAAATCACAGAACTGCGTCTCTCTCATTTTGGACCACTCGTGCTGGGGAGTTCAATGGAGAAAGCCATTGCTTTTGGATGAGTTAAGGGGTAAAAGGAAACGCAGAAGAACATGGTAGTTGGGCACCATCAAAGCTGACACCAGCCAGAGCATAGAAAAACTCAAAGAAGTAGTGCAAGATCAGATGATATGGAGAGACTTGACCCCATAGAATCGCCAGGAATCAGACACGATTGAATGGATACCACCATCATCATTTTTCGGACTATAAGATGCAGCGGAGTATAAGACACATCAAGATTTTGAAGAGGCAATTTGTTTAAAAAGGTTTTGCCCTTCCTGGCCCCCAGGAGCACTCTACAGGCCTCCCTTGTAAAAAACAGGCATGCAGAGAGTTTTAGAGCCCTACAAATATTCCTAGGGGCTGGGGAGGACAAAAACGAGCAAAAAACGGCTCGTTTTTCGTGAAAACAGGCTCGTTTTTTGCAAAAACAAAACAGGGCGTACAGAGGCTTTGGGAGGCTTGTAGAGTTCTCCTAGGGGCTGGGGAGGGCAAAAAGGAGCAAAAAACCGTGGCACGACAAAACCGCGCTCGTCAAAATCGCAGTGATAAAATCGCGGCACTAAAGCCGCGATGTCATCACCGCGCATCATCACCGCCGCGACAACAGCGCGGCAACAGAAGGGCGCTTTAAAACGGCGCCACAGCAGAAAACCGATTTCAATTAAGGTAAG